CTGCTGTTCTTTCCTCTTAAGGCCAGGAGGTGAGTGACCAAGGCCTGGCCCCACAAAGAGACTCTGTGTGTTGCCAACCCTAGTGAGGGCCTGAGGGTGGGGATAGGTATACAAGGAGGCCAGGTGTACTAGCTGGAGTCCCCAATTCTAGGTCGGCTTTGCCAGTTAGCTGTCACAGTGACCCAGGACAGAACACCTACCTGCAGAGTTAAGTAGCTTGCCCTGGTTCCCACATTTCAACCCCAATCTCTCATTTGCAAAATGAAGAGCCTGAATCTGAGATTTCATGGGGGATTTGGACCAGCCAGTAGACCACTGGTGTTTGGGGAAAATCTAGAATTAAATGTGTTCAGCGGGAAAAAAAATGGTTTTTTATTCTGAGATTATGACCTCTCTATTGTTTGGTTTATAGTTAACAAAGTTAGATACAGGCAACCTCATGTTGGTCATTCAAAAAATTACCTTAGATATTTTACATAAAATCCCACAGTCTGGAATCACTGACTAGAATCCTGACCATCTTGAGGGCAGCTGGGTGGACAGGGCACATTCCCATTCAGATGCCTGACAGGTAACCAAGGCAACACCTCTAGGATCCTTTCAGGACAGGCAGAATTTCTCTGACACCACAGATTCTAGCATTAAATACATCTTACCTTCCACTGACGATTATACCACAAAAACTGACCAAAAAAACTCATCATGCATTTTGGCAACAACAGAGCAATAACTATGATCTCCATTTTTGACAAGCAGCAAAATAACAGTTCTGCATGAGAATCACTTTTTTAAACTTTTAAATTTTATTTGTACATGTTTGCAGTTTGTGTAGAGAACCTGTTTTTAATTAGGTGTGGAGCTCTGTTGCTTTTTGATTTGGTTAGATTAAATTAAATCAAACAAATATGCACTTGAACACTAACTGGACAAAGTTAGGGGCTGTGGGAAAACTAAGAGTGGATTAGACACGGTTGCTGCCTTCAAAGGGTTACTTTACAATTAGAAGGGAAGTGAGAAATCACCTGGCTATGGTCAGGAAGACAGCGGGGAGAGGCTCAGGATGGACACTGTCACAGTGTGGAGGAAGCAGAGGTCACTGGGAACAGGGGCAAGATTATGAGAAAACCAGACCTTGTGAGGGATTCAGGGGTAACAACTGTGGTTGCCCCGATACACCTGATTCCTGGCACCCAGTAAGTGCTCAATAAATGTGAGAAGAATTAATCAGTACAGGTTAAGAGTGGTGGAAGTGTTATTTAAAATAGTTACTGAGCACTAAGCTTTTCTTGGATTTAAAGCTATTTGGGACAAGCTCTCAGTTTAAGCAAATTTTTTGCATGCACTCTGGGATGTTTTCCTGCTTTTTAATTCACTAGCTGTAGTACTTTTTTTCCAGCACAAGAGGGGGCTGCTTCCTAGTTTATTTAACTAAAATAGCCTTTTTTCTGTTTTTTTGGTTTGCCTCAGCTTTTCCCTCAAACTTCAGTATAATACTCTAATGTGCTGTTTAACCATCATCCCAAAAAATAGTCCACCAAAAATATCCTGTCATACTTCAATAAAATGTGTACCCACAATACATTATTTTCTAAAATGAATTTCTCCTAAATTACACAATTAGTAGGAAAAAAGTAAACACCAACATTTAAAATGTTTTTATAACCCCCCTAGGCCAACCTGGAGGTTTGTCCGAACCTTAGGTAAACCCAGGGGTTCCCAGTAAGAGAAGCTAGGTTTGTCAAGTACCTCAGGGTGTCACATGAGGGTTTCGAGGCTGAGACAAAAGCCATTTGTAAGGGCCAAGGCTTTCATCTTGCTGAGATGTTGGCCAGGTCCAGGCTTCGAACTTAGGATGTGCGATTTCTTTTACAAAAGGCTGCAAAGAATAGACAATGAAGTGGCCCATGTTCAGGTAAGCCTTGAGTCAAGGCCATCTGATATTATATTATATTATATTATATGTAGTAATTAGAAATTGGGAGGTGGGTAGCAAGTAATTATATGATTTTGAAGGCTTTCTTGCTTTACTAACAGACGTCGTACAGGGCTTCATCCATAGCAAGCTCCCTAGTGCTGTACATTAAAACTAAAACCTGGGGCTGGGGTGTGTAGCTCAGTGGCAGAGCAATTCCCTGGTATGTGAGAGGCCCTGAGTTCCCTCCCCAACACAGCAACAAAACGAGCAAACAAACAAAAGTGTCTTGAATTACCAAAGTCAAATCTGCACGCTATTTGTCAAAGACATCATTTCTAGCCAATGAAGAATGTCCTGTATGCTGTGAGCGGAAAGCTAGGAGTTAGAAAGGGAAACTATACCGCAAGGACAGGAAGAGAGCAAGAGCTCCAAGAATCAGGAAAGAGGTGACAGGAAAGCTATAAAGCACAGAGAAACAGAAAGGCAACTCAGAGAAATGCACAAAACAGTAGGCCACGCCAAGCCTGGCTCCTCAGGAGTGAAACTGACTCCAAAACCACAAAGTAAGCCCAGAGAGGGCCTGATGAGCAATGGACTGGCAGCCCTGGCCACAGGAGAAACCACAGTTATTGCCAGCTGCAAGTCCAGTATGGAGATTTAGTCTGAAAGTGACTACTGCATGGTTGCTAGCTTTGGAGAAGAAATCCAGGGCAGTGCTTGCCATATCTTGAAGTGCTGCAACCGGGTGCATTCGTGAGAGGGGACCTATTGTTTGGGACTGAGGTCCTTAGCAAATTGGAATTCCCAGAGCAATGTCCTGTCCTGGTGACTAGGTAGGAGACAGCTGTGGGGAGGCGAGGGTCAGCCGCAGACCTGCTGAGAAGTTTAAGCAGGGAGTTTGGGGGAATGGAAGGCCCAGTGGTCAGCAGCACCACCTTCCATGGTGAGGAGCAGGACCTGTCCTGTGGAGTTTTCTGAGGGGCTTGAGTCTGAATGCATGGGAATCCAGGCCCACGGATTGCTTTACTCCCAGAATGGCTTCCCTCCAGCACTGAACTCCCTGACACATTCAGAGATGTGCCTGTGCCTGGACATTTGCCATGGCCCCAGGCACATAGACAGGGGCACTAAACCAGCCCACATGGCACAAAGAGAACTGGGAGCAGTGGAAACAAGCAACGCCTCTGGCATGAACGTAGGCCTGAGGCAGGCACACCATTGACCTGCCCCTCTCGTGGTAAAGGAGCTGCTGGGTTTTGTTTGTTTCCGTGGATTGGTTGTTAGATCTTAATGCTTTAGTCAACTGAAAGCAGGGAGCGGTGAACAATGTAGACTCGGATGTCTTGGGTTCAAATCCAAACTTTGCCACTTCTAGCTATGATCTTGGCAGGATTTTCTGTCTTTTCAGTGTCAGTTTCTGCATGGTAATGTGATGATGATGATGGTAATGATGATGGTGATGATTATGACGACGATGATGATGTATGATTGTTTATCTGAGACAGGGTCTCACCATGGTCACAGGCTGGGACTGTGAGCAGGCACCACCACACCTGGCTACCACATAGGGTATGTGACCTGTGAAGTACACAGAACAGTGCCTGACACATAGTAAGTACCATTAGTGTCTATGAAATGGAATTGTTACATCTAGTGAGATGTAGTCAGGGTGTATTTTGAGTGATTAAAAACCAAATAAAGCTTTAGAAAGTGTATGAGGAATGGGGTGAGGACAATATTTTGGGATTGTGCAGTAGGGATGATTGTGCACCCTGTGAATATACTGAAAACCATGGAATTGTACACTTTCAAGTTGTAAGTTTTATGGCGTGTGAATTATATCTCAATAAAAAGGTATGGAGAAAAGTTCAACTCAATAAATGTTCATGGAGGTACTTACCCCCTCCTGGGTTCAGTGAGGAATAGAGAAGTCTAGGGTATAATTCTCACTCTGGAGGGTATTGTTTAGGGACCCCCGCTCACAGTGGAGGACATTGGTACAAACACTGGTTATTGCCAGACTCAACAGCGCTAAGTAACCCCAGGTCCCACAGGAAGTATGGGAAGCTACTTCCACCAAACTGTCTTCTTTAGGCAGGCACAGTCTTGATGAGGACAGAGGATTCATATTCATAAAGTGATCGGCGTTGTAAACATCCCAGAAGACCATCAGGCGCAGCAGGGTGTGTGGCAAGGATGTGCACAAAGGTGGGCTCCAGCTGGGCATGGCGGTGCATGCTTGTAATCTCAGAACTGTGGAAGGCTGAGGCAGGAGGATCAAAAGTTTAAGTCCAGCCTAGGTAACTTAGTAACTTAGCAAGATCCTATCTCAAAATTTAAAAAAAAACTTTATTACTTTTTTTAATTAAAAAAATGTTTTTGGACAGAGTCTTGCTTAATAGCATAAGCTGGCCTTGAATTCACAGCAATCCTCCTGCCTCAGCCTTCTGAGTGCTGGGGAGGCTGGGATTACAGGTATGCATCACCACACTCAGCTAAAATTAAAAACTTTAAAAAGAGCTGGGGATCTAGGTGACGCAGATGCCTTTGGTCAGAGTTGATGTGTTCAGAGATGTTAGGAAATGCTCCCAACAGCTATGCCTAGAATTATGCATGTCCTGGGGTTGAAAACCCTCATAGCAATCGTATTAACACACAGGGATGTATATGAGTTTCATCATCATATCAGAATTCAGAGCAACACAGCTGAAGCCATATGCATTCACCGTGACCACTTATACAAGAGTAGCATGTGAGACAACGAGAACAATCTAAAGACAATTTAGGCTGCTTGGTCATCCATTCACTTATCTCTTCATTCAACAAGTTACTTTTAGCATCTACCTGACTAGTACCTGAAAATATAAATAAAATGCAGGCTTTGTCCTTTGCGAAGATTCCAAGCTAAGAGCTCAAATCAAATATGTAGGAAAATACTACCGAGTGATAATTGGCATACAGTAAAGGGCTATGAAAGTGAGAGCAGATACACTGGCTCAAAAACACTGATACGCTGAGATTCAAAAAAAGAGATTGCTCAAGAGGTTTATCTTCCTGGCTACACAGAAATACTCTTAAAAATTACCTTAACCTCACTCTGCAGGACCTTCACAGGCTGACAGAAGCTGAAGCAGGATTGAGGGAAGAGAAATGATGGGAGAGGGATGGCCATTCCCAGGCTACTTCCCAGCATCTCCTTGGAGTAGTTCCTGGGTAGTAAATGAGAGACACTCATTTTAAAATATTTCTTTAAATTATTACGTGTGTGTAGTACACAGCGATTACGTTCATTGTGTGGAGCTGGACCATGTACATGACACATCTTCATTCTCTTTCATCCCTTCCTGTCCCTCCTCTCCTGCCCCCTCCCTCCATTTATTGCTTCCCTTCCTTTTTGCAAAAGTTCTATCTTCCGTATTCCTATTGTCTCTGTTTTATTTTGCTTTATTTAGACAGTGGGTTTATCATGTAAGAGAAGCCACAGGATATTTAAGCTTGGGTTATGGTCTCAAAGTGTATCCATTTTCCTACAAATGGCTCAAATTTATCCCTTTTTATGGCAGAGTAGTACTCCATTGTGTGTAAATGCTATATTTTCTTTATCCATTCATCTGTTATATTGAATTGGCTCAATATTCCTGCTCCACCTTTCAAGCTAATTTCCTGAGGAAAAAAAACTGTCAGTGTTTGGTTAGAGGAGAAAGCCAGACTCTAGCATATGTGCAGAGACAGATGATGTTTCCCTCAAGAGGAAGTTAGTTTCTTTGTCCCATTTTGACCCAGTCCACACCCAAGAACGCTTTTCAGGATAAGAAAGAAGCATTTTTTTTTAGGTTTTTGGAGACAGGGTCTCACTCTAATTCAGGCTGGCCTTGAACTTACTAGGTAGCCCAGGATGGCCTCGAACTCACAGCAATCCTCCTGCCTCAGCCTCCCAAGTGCTGAGATTATAGGCACACACCACCACACCCAGCAGAAAAGAGCATTTTGTAATTTGAAAAAGAAAAAACTTTCTATTGTGACAAAATATACATAAAGCTTACCACTGGAACCGTTTCTAAGTGTGTGGCTCTGTGGCATTATGTCTGCTCACAAGTTGTGCGGTCATGACCACTGCCCATCTCAGACCTTTCTCATCATCTCAAACGGAAACTCTGGACCTACTAACACCTCCATCCCACCCCTGGTAACTTCTAGTCTCCTTTCTGTTTCTACGAACCCGACTCCTCCAGGTAGAACACACAAGCAGAATCGTACCATACCTGTAACCCTTCACATTAGCATATTTCACTTAGCATAATGTCTTTAAGAACTCTCCATGTCAAAATCTCAGTCCTTTTGAAGGCCGATACTCCATGATATGTATATTACATTTCCTTTATCCGCCGTGTGCTGATGGGTTCCTGGGTTGCTTCCTTCTTTTGGCTGTTGTGAATAATGCTGCTATGTACATTGCGTTCAAATATCTGTGCAAGTCCCTGCTTTCAGTTCCTTTCGACATACACCTAGAAGCGCAATGCTGGACCATTCGTGTGTAATTTCTTGGGAAACTGCCAAAGTATTTTGCATAGCAGCTGCACTATTTTACATTCCCACCAGCAAGACCCGGGTTTCCAATTTCTCCACATCCTCTCCATTTCTGCCTTTTTCTTTCCACTCCTCTGCCTTCCCAGCTCTGACTGTTAATAAGCTCTGGGGGAAGGATGATATTAGATTGACAGATTGAAAATAGAGTTCCCATGTATTCGCCCGCCAGCTCCCCCTACTGTTGGCACAGCCGCCGTACATTTGTAAACACGAGGCGATCCTGGTTGTGCGGCTGCGGATGTGGCTGAGGGTACAGCGCCTGCCCACCGTCAGCACCTCAGCAAAAAGACAGGTTCAGTACCAGTGACTAAAGTGCTCACTGATTCAGATGTCACCAGATGTCCCTTTGGGTTCCTCAGTCACTGTCCTGGTCACTGGGACACAATATCCCATGCTTAAAGGAGGGGAGGCTTATTTTGGTTCACGGTTTCAGCCAGGGGTTTGCGCTGCGGGTCTCCAGGGAGAAGGAGGCTGGCACAGGGGCAGGGCGGAGGCAAAGGAGCTCTCGAGGCCAGAAGCAGAGTGGGAAGGGAGGAGCGGGGGAGGGAGGCCCCCAGTGGGGCCTTGTTCCCACCTCCTAACAGCACACTGGGCTGTGGCCCCCACCATCCAAGCACCTTCCAAAGGCCCTCTCTTTGGCGCAGGAGGGCTTGGGGGACAGTTTCCTGCTGACCTGGCTGCAGGGGACTGAGGCTCTGGGCCCAGGCCGCCCTGGCTCCGGGCCCTGGAGGTTCGTGATGAGTCAGTACTGCCCTCCTTCGTGGCCCCGCCAGGCTCCTCCCAGCTCTTTGAGTGTGTTTGAAAATCTCCAGGCGCTGGTGGCCTCAAGCTGCGGGGAACTGGAGGTTACGGGCTTCGGCTTCTCCCAGCCCGGAAATGTCGCGGGGCCCACAGTGAGAGGCGTGGCCCGAGCTGCCCGTCCGTTTCCTTTCCGTCCAGGTGGGCTAAGGGAAGGGCGGAGCTCCGGGCGAGTCCGAGGTGAGCTCAGGGCGCTCTGCCCTCCGGCTCTCTTCAGGGCTTCTGGAAAGATGATGTCTGCCCACAGCTTCTCTCAGGACTCCATTTGGTTTTCGTTTTTGCAGTACTAGGGATTGAACCCAGGGCCTTCACATTGAGCTACATCCTCAGCCTTTTTAAAATTTTTCATTTTGAGACAGGGTCTTGCTGTGTCACTAAGTCGTTGATCAGGCAGGCCAGATCAAACTTTTGATCCTTCTGTCTCAGGCTCCCAGAGGGCTGAGATTACAGGCATGCACCTGGCTGCAGATGAATTAAGCTCAGGATCTTGTGATGAGATCATCCTGGATTGCGAGTTGACCCTAAATCCAACGACAAAGGTCCTTATAGAGACAGAAAAGGAGGCAACATAAAGACACAGGGACAAAGGCTGTGAAGATGGGACAGAGACTGGAGTTACGCTGCCATGGCCGAGGAATGGCAACAGGTGCTAGAAGCAAGGCATGGAAGAGCATCTTTCTCAGAGCCTCTGGCGAGAAGAAACTCTGTCAGCACTAATTTTGGGCTTCCAGCTCTGCCTTAGCCAGTCTGGACTTTCATGACAAAACCAAGGGCTGGACTGCTTAAACAGCAGAACTTTACTCTCTCACGTGCTGGTCCTGGCTTGAAGATGGCTACTTTCTTATTGTGTCCTCAAGTAGGAGAGGGAGAGAGGGAAGGACGGAGGGAGAGACAGAGGGAGAGAGGGATTTATATCCTCAGATCCCATGATGAAGGCTCACCTGGTGAACTCATCAAAGTATCATCTATTTTATCAAAATAAAATAAGCTCATCCATCCACTGGGCCACACAGGGCCAGCTGGGCCTAGTCCCTCACTGGACACCTCTAGGTGAGGATGGATCCCAGCACCGCTGTTCTCAGTCCTGCTTCCTTGGTGGCTGTCTGGAAACCAGGCCTTCACTAAGGGAAGAGGCTGAAGGGAAATCTTCAAAGATGGTGGAACGGATATTGGGCTGAGGACGGGTGACTGTGGCATCACTACATCCACTCACAGCCTTGTGCTGGCCTCCTGCATTGGGGGCAGTGGGGACATGTGGGAGGGCATCACGTCAGGGAGAAATGGATTCTCCAGTGTAATGGAAGCAGCAGGAGAGCGGGAGTTAGAGCAGGCTTGTCACTAACCAGCTCTGTGACCTGGGGAGGCACTTCCGTGGGTCCTGGTTCCCTTGTTAATAAAAGGAGGTGAGTAGATGAAGTGATTTGTCACTCTCTTCTCTGACTCTACAGTCAGTGCTTGGGTGCTGGATTTGCTCTTTTCTTAAAAATATAACAAAACACAAAATGCACTACTTTAACGATTTTTAAGTGTATAGCTCAGTGGCACAGTGCATACATGATGTGGCACCATCACCCCATCCATCTCTAGAGCTTTTCTATCTTCCCATAGTGAAACCCAAACCTTGCAAACACTAACCCCATCCCCCTCTGCCCCAGCTCCCCACAGCCTCTACTGTTTCTGCCTCTATGAATTTCCAGGCACCTCCCATAAGAGGAATCATATTTTGTCCTTTGCATCATGCTTATTCCTCCCAGCATGACATTTTTGGAGGTTTATCTATGTTGTAGCATGGATTCCTTCCACTTTAAGGCTAAAATCCCATCATGTGTGTATATACCGTGTTTTGTTTATTTGCCCATTAGGGGACATAAGGGGTGTTTCCTCCTTTTCGCTGTTTGCTGCTATGAACATTGGTGTGCAAATACCTATTCAAGTCCCTGCTCTCAATTCCTCTGGATGTGTACCTAGGAGTGGAATTATTGGATCATATGGTAACTCTCCATGTAAGTTTTTTTAGGAACTGCCAAACTGTTTTCTCTTTAAAATGGGAAAACTAGCTTATATCTTATTTTGGTACTGGGGGTGGAACCTAGGACCTTACACATGCTAGGCAAGGGCTGAACCACTGAGATACATTCCCAGATATTTTATTTTTATTTTCTATACAGGGCTCATTCTGCAGTGCAGGCCAGCCTTGAACTCATGGTCTTCCAGCCTTAGCCTCCCATGCAGCTGGAATTACAGGTATACACCATCTTGGCTGGCAGAACATGTGCGACAGGTGTGTGTGTGGTGTGCAACAGAGAAGTGCACTGACCACGCCTGTGCTGAGACTGCCCCTCCCCAGTGGTACCACTTACTGCTGCGCCCTGGGGCTGACCCAGGTTAGATGTAGTCTGATAATTTGAAGGTCTTTCTGAGCCCCGACCCACATGGTTTCTCATTGTGGGGTGAACTATGTTGAAGTTTAAGGTTTACTATGGAGAGAAGAAATAATTTCCTCTCTTATTTCTTCAGAATTTTCTGAAATGGCGGTGATATGTACATGTATTTCTGGTTTTGTTTATTGGACTTGAACCCCAAGCATGATTGGTGTAAGGACTGAGAACAAAAGGCAGGAGGTGAATGGGAGGGAGAAAGATGGCTGACACCAAGACTGAGGCTCTTAGAAACACTGGCCAGAGCCCCAAGTGGCCCCTGTAAGCCGGGGGACCAGGGGGGCAAGTGAGAGGGCTCACCCAGCCCAGAGTCAGTTGAAATCTCAGGGTCTGGCTCCGAAGCCCAGTTCTTCCACTTCTAACTTGAGCAAAGAACTTAACCTCCCTGGATTCAGTTTCCCTATTCATAAAATGGGACATTATGGGATGGGATGAAAAGTACAGGGCTGAAATAAAACCGTATAGGTGAGATGATCCCCGTGGTACCTGATGCTCATGTCAATGCTATGACCTGTTTCCTTCAAACCCTAAAAATCAAACCCAGGTGGCCTGTAAAGGTGCAGGTTATAGATCAGCAATACGGTGCACACTTAGTGCTCTTAAGGCCCTGGATTCAAGCCTCAGCATTCCCACCCCCCACCAAAAAAACCCACCTGAGATAACTTTCCCTACCTCCCACTTCTAGAAATTTACTTTAAAACATGGGCTTCTGATGCTGTTGGTATTTTGGTGGCCATTCTGAAGTTACTTTATTTCCTTTTTACTGCTTCTTCTCTCCCCAAAGCAAATGCTTTATCTTTTGGGGCCTGATAGTTAGGCTTTCGTAGTACATACAAAACCGGCTCTTCCGCAAAAGACCCTGCTTTAGCGATTAGCAATGACTGCAACAGAAAACCTTGGTTATTTGGGCAAAACTCCCCAGAGCCATTTAGAAAAGAACACTTCTTTTGAAGATGCAGTTTCAGTTACTAAAAAGGGCTCATTCTCCAGGGAGACACAGCAGGATTGATGGAAAAAGCAAAGGGGAAAACACTTCAAGGCCACAACCTTAGGTAAATACAAGTCATCATCATTAATAATGCAGAAAATTGGGAGTTTGGTAAGGGAGAGTGTATCAAAGCAGGCAGATCCTCCTCCTTTCCCGCCTTGGTCTGCTCTGGCCGGTCCTGAGCCACTTGCTTATCCTTGCTGATTTAATTCAATGAGCCGGCCTGCAAACACAGCCAGGGTTCCGATGAGACAGACCAGCATGAAGACCGCAAGGAGAATATGGTCCATCACCATCGCCACGTATTTCCACTCCTCGGCTGCCTGGTGGGGAGGAGAGTGTTAGACAGAGGCCCGGAGGCGGTCATCAGCCTGCCGTGTTCGTGTTATGCATCCTCTGTGGCCCAAAGTGGTGATCTTTAGTGTTTAGGATAATTATTCACATCATGATCAGTTACTGGTGTGGCCCAGAGGCGGTCACTCGAGCCCATGTGAGCTCAGTAGCTGTGCCCTGAAGCTCCCCTACCTGACAAACCAAACCCTCCCATCCAGGCTCCTGTGTTTGATCACTGAAACCCAGAGTGAGATTTCCAGCCACAAAGCTTACGTTATTGGACTCCTGGTCTGACTTCATGGTCTCTGCGATGTATTTGACACCTTCGATGGCACTTTTCACCTCGGGGTGTTTGATCAAGGGAGAGTGGAATCCCATGGGAGGAGGCCCTGGCTTCCCAGAAATGTCAGAAATATCAATGTCTTCTGTGAAAATCTTTTTTTCTTGTTTGTCTCTGGATCGTCTTTTCATCGTGGAGAAAAACATTATATTTGGGATCGTGTCGATAAAAACCTAACAAAAAAAGAAATCCATGAGTGAGAATTGTCGTCATCATAGACAAGTATCAAACCATCTCTGATTATCAGTGTGATGTTGGGCAAGTCATTCTGCATCTCAAGGCCTCTTCCTTGTCCTTAAAACAAAAGGATTGCACTAGTTGTTCTCAGTGATTCCCTGGGGCATGTGAAGTTACCGTGGGCCTGTGACGATTCTGCAATGTGAGCAGTTTGCCACTGGAGGGAGCCCGTGCACAGCCAGGGACCTGACAAGACACCAAGGCGCTTAAACTACTTAAGCTTCAAAAGCCCCCATAGGTAACAGAAAAGTCCTACCAATGCGTTCTCAGGAACATGTGATTAAAGAAAGGACCCCTACACTGTTCTCTGTTTCTTGTGCCTGAAGAAAATGCAGCAAAAAGGCACTGCCAGGAGTCATCCAACAGTCCTTATAGAAATAGGGACTGTTAATCTAGGAAAAACGACATTGCCAGCTGCAGTTTAGTGTTTGCCTAGCATGTGTGAGGCCCTAGGTTCTATCCTCCGACCCCCAGCACCACCACAGAAAGAAAAAAAGAAAGGAGTAAAAGGGGGAACATATTTGAAATGTTAGCACATTTTAAAACTCAACAATGTAAATGTTTGAGGCCTAATTCCTCACTGACATTCACTTCCTGACATTCTCTACTCAAGCCTCCTCCTCCTCCATCTTTAGTCCTTATTCTGTTCTCAAATGATGATCTTACCAGCAAAAATAAGCCAGTCTCTTCACAAATTGGAAGACACACAAAAAGAAATCTGAAGAATGGCACAGCATAAAAAGGGATTTATTCATCTCCAATCAAAGATATTCTTTGAGCTTGAATTTGGAATGGGTGTTATTTATTCTGTTTTCTTCTTTCTCCCTGGGAAAGCTACATAAGTTATCCCTGGAAAGAAGCCAAGGGATAACAGGGCTTCCCCAGACCCACTGACGCCCTGAAAGGAATTTGAGTCCCTCAGGATGCCTCAGTATGCCTTGGCTGTGTCCAAGGCAAGACCCGGTGTCCTCACTGTTGAGGTTGGCACTCACCTTCCGCACCCACTCGGGCATGATGTGCGTGCTGGGAGAGCGGTGATGCGTGTTGATGACGATGACAGTGACGATGATGGACGCGATGACAAACACCATGGTGAACAACATGTATTTCCCGATCAAGGGCACAGCACTGGAGGTGGAAGGGATCAGCTCCACGATGACCAGAAGAAACACGGTCAAGGACAGCAAGACAGAGATGCTCAGTGTCATCTTCTCCCCTGAAGAGACAAAGAGAAGAAACGCAACAACCCACCCATTGAAGTGTTGAAAGGCTAAATCCCAGAACCTCAGAATGTGACCTATTTGGAGACAGAAGCTTTAAAGATGTAGTTAAGATAAAATGAGGTCAGGCGGGGGTCCTTCATCCAATATGACTGGTGTCCTTATGAGAGGAAACAGGGACACAGAGGTGCACAAAAAAGACCGTGTGAGAACACAGGAAGAAGCTGGTCATCTGCAGGCCAAGGCCAGAAGAAACCAACCCTGTCCCCACCTTGATCTCCACTTACAGCCTCCAGGAAGTGTGAGAAAGTAAATTTCTTTGTTTAAGCCACTTAAACTGTGCTCCTTTGTTAGGGCAGCTCTTCACACCCATTTACTACTGAGACCCTGAGTGGCATGATCTCAAAATATTATTCTGAAGACTCTTTTCCTGCAGAATTTCCTGCATGACCTCAGCACCTTTATTCACAACGATGGCGGCAAACATCTCTATTAGAAACGGACAGCTACTTCATCTCATGGCCTAGAATTTTGTTTCTTGGTGGAACTCAGGGAACCAAGCGGAGTTCTGGGTTGGCAAGCTAGACCATTCTGCATCAGAATGGTATTAAACCTTGTAAAGCTCGACCACAGCCTGGTCTGTTCCACAGCAGGTGGACGGGCAGCCTGGAGGTAACATATTTCTCTCAGTAAGGGAGCAAGCTGCAGGACCAAAACCAAGAACAAGATCTGCCAAGCCAAGGAGTTGCCCTGGGCTTCTTGAGTAATCTGATCTCCTTGCTCCCTTTTCACTTTTATCTAAGAGGAAGCTTGTTTTCTCACTTATTCCTTGCTTTGTTTTGTTTTCATATTAATGGAACAGGGATCCCTGCCACCCCTTTTTGTTCAGGCCCTGGCTTTCAGGAGTCCTGGCTGAGCAAGCATGGCTGCAGGAAGGTTGGGGCTGAAGGGTACTGGGGTGTCCTTGTGGGATTTGACTACTTAGGATGTGGTAGAGAACCCTTGGAAGTCACTGTTCTTGGGCCAGTCTTGCTGCTGGTGTTCCTGGGAAACCCTTGTGTTGGCTTGCTTTCTGGAGTGGAACTTTCTGGAGTGGTCCTGGGTCGAGTCCCCCGAGGATACTGCAGGTGACTGTGAACGCAGGACACAAAGTGGATGCAAACAAGAAGTCGTCAGTTTTCACCTGGTGGGTGGGAGCCCCTCAAGCACGCTCTTGCCATGTTCTCCGCTGTATTCCTGTCGCACAACACTTGCCTCAACGCATATTTTTTGAATGATTGAGCAATTTTTTTCCTTGACAGAAAGTTGGATATAAACTTTTGTGGCTTTTTAAAATCATTTTGATAAAATTGCTACCTGTCATGAATTTTCAGGCTGTCTTTCTTTTTCCCCTCCTTGTCTGCCATAAACTGTTTATGAGTAGGGACCTGCTGGCAGGCATATGGGTCCCCGTCCTCCCTTCCGCTAGCTTGTTGGTGTCTGATGCAATTATATCACAGGTGTGAGTCCTCAGTAGGAGGTAAGTAAGTTGTCCAGGCTGACATGTGAGGAAGAATTGCCCCTTGGGAAGCATGGTCTCAGGCGTACAGTCACTGCCATCTGGAAAACAGATAGCAGAAGCTCTTTTCAAGTGACAGGCAGCGAGTAAAGGAGCAAGAGCCAGATTAGTCAGTGTACAGAAAGTGACATCATAGGAAAGGGACAGCAAGAGAGTCTGGTCACATGGGCACACACGTGGTGCTGAGCAAACAGGTGTTAGGAGTGAATTCCTTTGAACTGGACTGAGCTAGGGTGGGCATCTTTAGGGGGTCCACTCTTGAGGTCTGTCCGGCTGTGAGCTCTGCCCATATAACTTTCACCCCTCACATGCCACCCAGTGAGGGTGTCCTTCCCGTGATGATGACAGGGTCCATGTGCCCCTGATTGTTAGCACACGATTATATCTGGCTCATCCTAAAACAGCAGCAGCAGCCATGGCAACTGCACCCACCTGAGTCTGTGGGCAGGTAGAACACCAGGCTGGTTAAGAAGGAGAAGAGCAGGCAGGGAATGATGACGTTGACGATGAAGTAGAGGGGCAGGCGCTGCATGATGAAGTGGTAGGTGATGTCCAGGTAGGGGGTGTTGGGGCAGCAGGAGTAGAACACCCAGTGCTTCCAGCCCCGGGACTCCTTGATCACCCATTCCCCGCTCTCCATGAAGTTGCTCAGGTCTGGCTGGTCGCTTTCCTGAGAATGAAAGGAGGTTGGGAAACCCTGAGTCACCCTGAGGAGAGCAGGATTTTGTAAGCAGCAGCAACAAGGCAACAGTCTAAAGTCCAGTGGGTCACATACCAGAAGGGACCCCCAGGCCACTACTGATTTGGGGTCTTAGGTTCCTTTTGTATAACACAAGAGGGGTTGGACTATTGACAGTCTTCATTTTGGCCCCATATTTGAGTCACCTGGGAGGATTAAAATATATTGGTGCCCTAGTGCCACCCTGGGCAGATCAAATCTGAATTTTTGAGGCAGTGCTGAACATAGAAAATTCATTTAAATTCCTCGTTCTCATGTGTACCATATAAAGAACCTTTCCCACCCATTAAGAACTGTCAAACTAGGTGATTCTAACTGGTACTGAGAGCTGACAGGAGCAGAATTGGACCCAAATCACACATTCCCTGAGAGCAGCTCATCGTGCAGTCACCACTCACCGGGTAGATGGCCACCACAGAGCCGTCATAGGTCCACGTGCCCAGTTTCATGCTGCAGTTCTGCTCATCAAAGGGAAAGTGAGTGACGATGATCTCACAGTAGCTTTTAAAGATGGCTGGAGGTGTCCACGTGACGTGGCCTGAGTAGTCCAGGAGCACTTTGGTGAACTTGACAATGGCGAAGTCACCATCAGCACTACAATGGAGATAAGAGGAAAATGGCTCCAAGTGCCTGAGGAGCCTTCCCTTCTGCTTGGAGATGTTAGCAAGACAGCTGTTAATTATTCAGGTGCTATTGATAGAAGCTCTCTCTTGAGTGGTATTATTGAATCTATGGCAGTTTTTCCCAAACTTGCTTGGTACTAAGAATCGCTGGGGTGCTGGTTAAAAATACAGACTCCTGAGCACTGTCTAAGCCCTGCTGTTGGAGCAGCTGGAGTGGAAAGTGGGACTCTACAGGTATCAAGAAATAGCAGGTAACAGGGTCCTCTCAGCTTTTCTTTTTTTTTTTTGTACCAGGGATCGAACTCAGGACCTTGCGTACTCTCAGCTTTTCTTTTCCAGTCCTAGTGGTATTTGTAATGTTACCCTTTCCCAGTATGCTTTGAGTGTCAGCTGGGGAAATCCAGGATTTTGAAATAAAAACACCTCCAGCGGTTCAGTACTGTGACAAGCAGACTAGGAAGGGGCCTTTTACCTTTTAAAGAATGGCTTAGAACTCAGTGGGGTAGGGCCACAAACCCAGGTGTCTCCAGGGCCAGGCAGGTGAGGAATGCACGCAGGTGCGACTGGGAAGCAGGCAGTAGCCCCACTGCCCCCAGATACTTGGATTCTTGCTCAGGGACTGGAAATCAAGATTTCTGTAATTAAATATTTCCTTCCTCTTCTTTTTTTTTTTTGTAAATTCTGGAGGTCAAACCCAGGGCTTCAACATGTTCAAGGCAAGTGCTCTACCACTAAGCCACATCCCCAGCCTGAAAATTTCCAAAGTTTTGAGTGTTGGACTTTTCTAGAGAGGCCGTAAGTCCAGATTTTAATGTGATATTTCCTGATTTTCCAATGTTGGCAATAGTATCTCAGTTTTTACAAAAGTACTAATGTGCTGCTTCCATAGCCCTTATTCAGTGGGCTGTTCTCTCTCCCGTGAACAACCTTGTTCCAGGGACTTTACAAAGAGCATCGCAATTAGTAGGATAGGTATCGCGGCTGGGGCTGCATGCAGCTCGGTGGTGGAGGGAGTGCTTACCTAGCACGCACACGGAGTGCTGGGCTCTGTCCCGGCACCACAAAAGGAAAAAAAATTAGAATATGTGTTGAATCAGTAGGGGGGGATTTCCTCTGTGGGATTTCAGGGACAAAATAGCATATACTGGTCCCTCCTATCAAAAACCAGGAAATTTTCTTCCTCTTGATTTTTCCTTGGGACTAAAGTGGGGCTCTTTGTCTGGAATATTGTAGGCATCCGATGCTCCCAAAAGCACAAAAGGTCCTGGAAAGTGGGGTTCCCGCCCCACCAAGGTGACCCTGAGTGAGCCACTCAGAGAGACCAGAAGCCTTTACTTGCTTCCCCCAGTTTCTTACTGAAAGAGGAGTGTAACCCAGACACTGCTCTGTCAGCATATCTGCCCATATTTACACCACTGATTGGGTAATTTTCTCAGGGTTGAATCCTGAGCGTAACTGGGCAGTTTGGGTAGAAAATCAGAGCTGGACAGGCCGCCGTCCAGAGTTTTATTTCCAGCCTCTGCCCCTCCCCCAGCCGCTGGGAGGTGTATCCGCTCCCGCACATGTGTGACGTCAGACCGTAAATCCTCTCTGCTGGCGAAGAGCGAACGCCCCTGCCTGGAAAAGATGCCCTCTGAAATGAACATTCCCTGACAAATGAAGGGCATATGATAATGAACGTGTCATTAAACCGGAGTGTCTTGAATCGCATGATAATTTCACAACATGCAGTCTGTCACTGGGCCCATTGTCTGGGCAGCGGAGACATGGGGGAGCCCATCAGTGTCGGGGTGGCATTCAGGGTGTGATGAATTGCACCCTCCGGGCCAGACCTGTTTAGTAGCGAGGACTTTTGATTCCAAGGACTCAGGGATAGGAGCCTGGGTGCCTTGGTAGTAGCACACATCCCCCCGGAGCCCTCGGGATCAAATGGCCCCCACCCACAGCCGTGACTCCATTTGGCTCATAATTGTTTCTATTCATGCCACGAGGCACCATATGGGCCCCCTTGCCTGTCAGTCTGGCTCTGGGTTTTAAGAGTTATTTAATATTAACAGCGGCGCCCTCCCTGAGCCCCAGTCCCTCCTTGCCTGTCCCTCTGCTTACTTGTTATACAGAACAAGGTCTGGCCGCCAGATCTTTTCTGAAGGAATGTGGATTTTTTTCACGCCGCCATAGTCATCTGGATTCCATTTTAGGTTGTAATCCACCCATTGCTAGAAATGAAGACACTTGTGAATTAAAAAGCCAAATGCGTTTTTTAAAAATCTAGGATGGGCCAAGGATTTAGCTCAGTGGCACCACACCTGCCTCGAAAGCACAAGGTCCTGAGTTCAATCCCGGCACCAATAAATAAATAAATATTAAAATCTAGAGTGATCAAGAGCCCTGGTGGGCATGGTAAGTCAGTGTCAGAAATGGTGCTTTGGTAAGACAAGATTGGTTCAGAATTCAGCCTTCACTGTAGTTTAACAACAAGCTTAGAGGCCTACATCACAGGTACTGTTCTAAGCTCTTGATTTGCTCAGTTAGACCTCACAACAATCCCACGGGGTGAGGGATTAGTGCCTCCATTTTACAGATGAGGGAACAAGGGACCCCTGGGTTACACAACTGGGAGATGGCGGATCCACCAGGCCACTCTCATGGAAGAAGGATGACCTTAGTGTGGACATTTTCCTCAAGCAGCAATACCATTTAAAAAAAATACTATATGTTTTCCTTTATTATAAAAATAATATATGCCCAGGCTGGGGATTTAGCTCAGTGGCACTGAACCTGCCTCACAAGGTCCTGAGTTTGATCCCTGGTACTGAAAAAATAAAAATTAATAATAATACATGCCCAATGTAGTAAATTTGAAAAAAAATATTATGGGTTGAGCTGTGTTCCCCTAAAATTCATATGTTGAAGTGCTAATCCCCAGTACTTCAAATTATGACCTGACTTGGAGAAAGGGTCTTTATGGAGAAATTAAGTTAAAATTAAGTCAGTAAGGTAGGCCCTAATCCATATGACTGGTGTCCTTGCAAAAGGGGACATTCACAGACATGTGTATGCCTGTCTCACACAAGAAGAACACCATGTGAACATGAAGACAGCCATGGACAAGCCAAGGAGAAAGTTCTGTACAGATGCTGCCCTCACAGCCCTCAGAAGGAACTGATCACAGCTGATCTCTTGGCTTTGGACTTCCAGCCTCCAGAACCATGAGATGCTAACTTTCTGTTGTTTAAGTCACCTGGTTTGTGGTACTTTGTTACGGCAGCCCTAGCAAAATAATACACATAGGAAAAGCCCAAAGTGAAAAAACAGAAACAAACTGGATCTATAGTCCCAAATATAGTATCTGCTGTCAACATTTTGGTATGTATCCCTGTTATCCAAATTGTTTTCCTCTGGGCCCAGGCTTAATTTCAGGGTATATAAAGACAACACCAGGCTGAATGTGATTACACCTGTAATCCCAGGACTCTGGGAGGGTGAGGCAGGACGATGCAAGTTTGAGCCCAACCTGGGTAACTTAGAGCATGTCTCAAAATAGAAAGTAGTTTTAAAAAGGGCTGGGGATGTAGCTCAGTGCAAGGGTCCTAGATTGAGTCACCAGTTTGGGGAAAAAAAAGAAAAAGGCAATTACAGTATCTAGTTGAATTACCTGTTTCAGACGAACATTGGTTGTCACAATTTGGTTCACTTCATCCTGAAAAATGAGAAGACATCCCCTTCAGGAAGTGGAAAGGAGAACCAAGGAGGGAGTGCTGGGGAGTGGGGGAAGGGTGAGGGGGTCCCCAAGTGCTGCTCACCACGTTGATGAGCTGTATGAGCTGCAGGCCCACAGTGACCTCCACTACATGGCGGTGGTCCTCCACTGGCCGTACCACGCTGCTGTAGTTATGAAATAGCTTTGCCATCAGACGGGTCTCATGTTCGGAGCCCAGGACGAGGCCAGCTGGACAGCAAATGACACATCCCCTGTCAGACTTTGCTTCCTGCTCTCCACTCCCTCACAGGAGGAACTGAGGGGGAACCAGCTAACAGAAGGCCAAGGCCCCTGCTGCAGGGCTCTAGAGCACAGCTTTTGCTGTCTCAAGTTCCTTTCCAAGCACAGTTGTTGGTCCATTCCCAGCCACCAGTGGGGACTTGGCTTTTGAACAGATGAATTCCTTAAAACAGGACCTGGCTGAATCAAATTAGCCAGAACACACACACACACACACACACACACACACACACACACACACACACAGACCCACAGGAAAGTCAGCATCAGCATTACAGAGTATGGTCACAATGTTATGAAATCTTGGATGGGCTGGCCTCAGATCTCATGGTGCCATGAAGAGTCAAAACTGAACGCTGGTTTCCACACCCTGGGGTGGCCATAGTTGACGAAATGGAAAGTAACAAATTCTGGTGAAGTTATGGAGAGACTGAGATCTCAGGTCTGTTGCTGATGGGAGTGAAATAAGGCTATTTCTCTGCAAGTTAAACAGAGTTACCATGCAACCCAGCAATCCCACTCCTAGGTGCATACCCAAAAGAATAACAGCATATTTACAACACTCAAAAGGAAGAAATAACTCAAATGTCCATCAGCAGATAAATGGATGAACAAATTGTGCTATATCCACACAATGGAATATTATTTGGCCACAAAGAGGAATGAAATACTGACACATGCTACAACATGAATAAACCTTGAAAACATTATGCTAAGTGAAAAACCTAAACAAAAAGAGGCACATATTGTATGATTCCATCTATATGAGGTTTCCAGAATAGGCACATCTATAGAGATTTAAAGATAAGTGGATTAGTAGTTGCTAGGGACTGGGTGCAGAGAACAATGGCTTAATATTTTCAGAGTTTCCTTTCAGGGGATGAAAAAATGAAAAATTCTGGAATTCAGTAGTGGTAATAGTCAACTAACATAGTAAATGTCCTTATTACCATGAACCATATACCTCAAAATGCTTAAAATAATAATAACTTTTATGTGATTTTAATATAATTTTTTTTTAAACTGCTGGTGGATCAATGTCCCAGTTAAATGGTTTAAATAGAATGAAAGCCCTGTGCTTTGTCAACCTGGGTACAGGGCTCCTATTTGGAACCTGAGTGATTCCAGGGAATCCTGTGTACCTCTCCCTTCGGGACAGAGAGCAGTTCGCCTGAGTACAGCCTTCTCCTTCCAGCCTGGTATGTGACTCTGCCCAGCTCAGGGGAGGTGGGCCGCTTGGCGAAGGCCATGTGGCTGGAAGGCAAAACTCTGAAAAGAACCCTGTCATTCTGAGCTGTGTCCACACCACCTCCTGCAGTTACCAGTGTGCCACTGGGTCTCGTGGAGCCCACAACTGTGTGTGCCTTTACTTGTGGAGAAAATGTGTTCCACCTCCTAACAAGTGCCCTCTGAGGACCTGTGTAACCCAAGCTGTAGCACACACACCATCAGCGGAAGTAGACATGCCGACCCATCTGCCTGGATTCCTGTAACCTGACCTCCCCTTCCACAGGCTAAGCGGAGGCCGTGACTTCTCTATGGGCCAGGAAAACTCTAAACGTTGAATGAATGAGGTGCTTTCTCTTTTTTGCCCAGTAATGTTAACTGATCACCTCTAAGACAGGTTATCATTTTTCTCAATAACTTTTCTCCTTTGGTCCTAAGTTTGGAAGTTTATAAATAAAATATTACATAAAAAGTAATTATTTTTTCTATTTTTAGTCAATTAAATTAATTGTCAACACAATAACACAACTTGAGTGCCAGATACCTATATTTCTTTTTTCTTTTGTGTGTGTATGTGTGTGTGAGAGAGTGTGAGAGTGAGAGAGAGAGAGAGAGAGAGAGAGAGAGGCTTGAACCCAGGGCCTTTGCGTTATTTTTTTATTTTGAATCAAAGCTTTGCTAAATTGCTCACACTGAGCTGGAACACATGATCTTCCTTCCTCAGCCTCCAGAGTGCTGGGATCACAGGTGTATGCCAGATACTCTTGTAGGTGTTTCAGGTACATGTACTCAATCCTCACAACTGTGTAAGATGAATACTAAACTTGTCCCTACTTACAGAGGAGAAAACTGAGATTCAGAGAGATGAGCAATATGTTCATGGTTCCCCTGGCAGTTGAAGGTAGGATTACAAATAGAGACAGTTTACCTGCTCCTTAAAGGTAAATATCTCATTTTCAGTCAGAGTTTGGAAGCTTTCAACCTAGCTTAAATATCTTTGTTTTTACCCTCATGGACTCCGTTATGGTTGAGCTCTAAGATGCCCCTCTAAAGGCTCATGTGTTCCAAGGTGGGGCTTTGGAAGTGACTGGATGATGAGGCACTAACTTCATTAGCCCATTACTGAGTTCAGAGCTGAATGTGCTCTGAATAGGAGGTGGGGGGCTCACTGAAAGGGGTGGTCATGGGGCTGCCCCTGGGGACTATTTGGTGTCCCTGGCCCCTTCCTGGGGTTCTTCCTGTCTCTCTCCTCTCTGGCCACTAGAAGGTGATCTGCTTTGCTCCACCCCATGTTCTCTGTCATGATGTTTGGCCTCACCTCAGGCCCAAGAGAAACGGAGCCAAGTGACCATGGACTAATCTCTGAAACCATGAGCCAAAATAAACCTTTGCTTCTTTAGGTTGGTTTTCCCAGAAATTTATTCACAGTAATGAAAAGCTGAAGAACACAGACTCTATGTAGGAAACCCTTGACCTCGCCCAACTCTTCATTTCTGGTTTCCCATGTTTTCTGAACGACAAAGCTTCCTAGGATACCAAAGGTGCCCAGCCATGCAGAGCTTTCACAGGATACCTCCCCAAGCCACCCCACATTCAGTGGCCCTTCAAGGGAGTGTGTTGCTAAAGACCCAATTTTAGGGGTGCCCGACTAACCCCTTGGGCCATAGCTGTCCTGTTCTCCCCACCTTGCCCATCCCTGGCTACACCCACATCACCATGGGGACTGGGACCTGGTGAGGACCACTGAGTGCCCTGACTGTTGTTCTGGCATTGACCTGGGCTGTGTATTTTAAATTTTTTAAATTTATTTTTTATTTTTTATTTTTGTACCGGGGATTGAACTTGGGACCTTGCACTTGTGAGGCAGGCGGCAAAACCACTGAGCTAAATCCCCAGCCCTGGGCTGTGTATTTTAAAAGACTGCTTATTCCAGTTTGATGGGAAGAACATACCAGAAAACAATCGATAGAGGAGATGGTTAGAATTATGTTGCAGAAAAACTATCAGGAAACTATCCCGCCAAGCTATGGTCCACTAAGGAAATGGGGAGGACTTGGGGAACAAGCATCTCAGCATTGTAGTGACATTTACCTCCTCCTGTCCTGCCTAGCCAATGACAAGATGCCTTGTTGCTCCCATAAGGAATTTCCAAATATGTCTCCTTTTCTTTTCTTGTATTTTCACTTCCTTTCTCTTTTTCTTTCTTTTTCTATTCTTTTCTTTCAGTACTGGGGGATTAAACCCAGAAACACTCTGCTGCTGAGTTATATCTCCAGCCTTTTATTTTTTTTAGACAGGGTCATTCATGCTAGTTTGCTCAGGCAGGACTTGAATTTGCAATCCTCCTGCCTCAGCCTACCTGAGTGCCAGAAGTACAGATATGCACCACCACACCTAGCTATGAGTCTCTGTCTCCATTTCTTAGATTGGTTTCATTGGTGCAGGCTAAGGGGATAGAAAATTTACAGGACTGGAAGTCAGATTCTATGATTCCCTTTCCAACTCCAATATGGTTTGGAGAGTTGGACCAGTTCTTCATGGATTCAGTGAAGCACAGTAACTTTTGTAAAAAGACCAGTGGAAATAAACAGACAAATACGTCATATAAAAGTTTCCCCTTTTTGAAAAATTATATTGGTAATATTTATTCAGATGGTAACATTGTTCATTTGTCAAATATTTGTTGAGTGTTTGCTGTATGTAAATATTGTTTTAGGAGCTTTGAGATTTTGAAGGCAAATCTGGCATGAATCCTGTCTCTACCCTCACAGTGACTAACATTTGTCTTTTACATAAATAACTGTGAACAAGTTGGAAAATAATATGCATGAAGTACTTAGGACTCCGGAGGCGGAAGAGAGGAAAAGGTTGAAAGGAAAGGTGCTCTATAAATAGAACAGGGAAGGTGGTGTGTTAAGCTAACGCAAGAAAAAGTGTACCTGAAATGAATGAGAATTTTGCCCATAAAGAACTCATTCTAACTAGGGGAATTCAGCCACAGTTTCAAAATGTGCTTTTTGTACCACACTGGTTCAATCTATATTTTTATGTAGGAAAGAGCCACCTGGATTAGGAAAAAGGAAATTTGAAATGTTAATAGCCACCTTAGGTAATTCTTATCTTAGCCTGATGCTGTATCTCGTGCTGCTTTGGCAATTTCAGGCTTTCTGACAATGCATGTAACAAACCAAATCTCTAGTTGATCACAATTCAAAATTTATAAATAAAATGACTTGGGCAGGTCATTCTGTATCTTTAAACCTCAGGTTCCTTACAGTCAAACACTGAGCATGTTGGAGTATTTGGTCTGGATCTAAACTCCCATGAGTCACCCATGGCAATCAATACCAGCAAACCCAAGGTTTGATCAAAATATATATCATACACTTTTTAAATAGCTAAATATGCATTTTTAGAGGTCTTTGGAATCCTAAGAGACCCCTTAAGTATTTTTATAGAAGCATATAACTGAAGGATTTTCATTGAGCATGGTGTTTGCAAACACACACACACATACACACGTATGGACACACCCATGTGCACACACACGCGCATACCAGGCTAGCTTTGGTTGGATCAAGTCCAAATCCCACAGGATATAACTTATCTGAGTTTAGCCTATTTCCCTCAACTTTATTATTGCAAAAAATTAATAATGCAGCTCTTTACATCTTTCCCAGGAGGCCTGTGTTTGTCAGGACAATATGAGAGAAGCAAAATCACAGGATGTCTGCTACCTTGTTTCTCAGCTGGGATGACATCACCAGTAAACTTTTCCATGAAGCAATCAGAAAACATCTCCTGTTTCCCTCTACCGGAAGTTTGGGATTCAGGATAGTGTTTCAGTTGCTGCGTGGTGACACATTCCAGAGCAGAGTTAAGCACATGGGCTGTGCAAGTTTTTATAGTTTCAGTTCAAACCCACACCTACATATAGTAACGTCCTTAAAAGGAAGTAGACAAGAATGCATTCAGATGGACTTTGTTTTAACTTCCGAAGTTAAAAAAAATTGCAAACTATTTCATCTCCATGGAGTGTAGTTACAGTTATTAACAAGTTTCTCTTTCCAACACTTGTAGCTGTCAATCAGTCCTCTTCATTATCTGAACTCTCCTAGAGCAGCAAAATGCCTTGTTAAGTTGGTTATTTGTATTGTAAATTCCCGCCCCAAGTCCCTCTGGTTGTTTAGATATGAAAGCTGCCCAGGATGCTGCTATGGTCCAGCAGTGGTCCAGATTCCACAAGTGCCCTAAGGCTATTCATGTGGCTGAGTTGGACACCAGGCTTGGACAGGTCTGAATGTCTACCTTGTGGCCTTTGACCAGGCAGCTCCCATGTTAAGTGGGTGACATAAAGTGGAAATCTTCAAAAACCCAGTCAAGCCAACATCAGGAAGAAACTGTCTGAGTAGCCTCTGACCAGCAAGACCCTACCATTCCGTGTTCCCATCAAAGAAGCAATACTGTGGTCTGGGGGTTGCACTTACCAGAGCAGAGGCCGAGGAGCAGGAGGAGAAGCCGGGCCTCCATGAGCTGCGGGTGCTGGCGGGGACCTGGAGCAGCGTGGCAGCCTGTGTGACTCCCTGGCACTCTCTGGCTGGACACTTGGCTGCTAGGGGGTATGGGAAGCAAGAGGAGTAGTGGAGCTATTGTCTTACACCACCTGTTAGTGGCTGTGACAGCTGAGCTGTCCCCACCCTGAAGCCCAGGAAGCTTCTGGAGCCTGCTGATCCAGGTGTGTCTCACTTCACAATCGCCGTGCTTTTGACAATAAGTGTGAGCTGGGTTATATTTTGAATGCATCACAAGCCAGGTTTTTTTGTTTTTGTTTTTGTGGTATTGAGGATCAAGCCCAGGGCCTCACACCCTAAATACTCTACCACTGAGTTACAACCCTAGCTCCATGAGCAGTTCTTAATGAAAAAACCTACAGGAAAGAAATCTTTTGAAGCTAGGCATGGTGATGCACACCTGCAATCCCAGGACACTGGGAAGCTGAGACAAGAGGATTGCAAGTTCGAGCCCAGCCTGAGCAACTTAGTGAGACTCTATCTCAAAGTAAGAGGAAAAACAAAAAGGTGGGAGCTGGGCATGTGGCTCAAGGCAAAGGCCCCAAGTTCATTTCCCAGTAGTGCAAAAAAATTTTTTTCTTTTGAATGGTGAACAGCCCTCACCCTTTTGTGTAGACCAGAGCCACATGGATGTGTGCAGATTCAATTAGGTCTTTTGGGCTGAGCAGACATCAGCTGCTTGTGCAGTCCTCCTAGGTCACACAAGTCCACAGTCTCCAGACAGCCAGATGCATCTCCTCTGGTTCCGAGAGAGCTGAGGGCCTGGAGTTCTGTGGCTGCATGAGCTTGAGAAGGTGTTGAATCTGCAGTAGGAAGCGTCTCCATATTTGATTGTGTTTGGCTTTTAACACAGCTTCTTCCATAAAACCGGTTTCAGTGGCCCCAGAGTGGCTGTTCCAAGCCCTGGCCCTGTATCAGGCAGTGCCCATCCCACAGGAGCCACCAGGCAGGGCAAACTGCCATCCCCTGTGTGCCTTATTCAGCGGAGAGTAATTGTGGGGAAAGTGTCCCAAGGTGGCTGCAGTTGTTTCCAGTTCCTGCTTCCTTCCACCCATTCTCTGCCTACTCTCACTCGGGGAGGCCAGGAACAGAGTGGTTCAGCTTTTCAAATCCTTTGTTTAAAAGTTCCTGAAAACCAGCAGTTCATAATTGCTCAGAGAAGTATTTTGACCAAATTGAGCTGCTTGGCAGGGCTGTGGTGGGTTCTAGAAGAAAGTAGTTACGTAAAGATCTCCTGCTTGCTCCTTCCCTACCTCCTTCCCAGACCCAGTCAGGTGAGAGAGTCTGTCACCTCCAGCCCAAAGACAGGGACCCCACAGATTGCCCTGTGCCAATGGGTCCAAGCCAATATTACAGAAGGGTCTTGCAGAGTAGCAGTAAAAGTTGCAAGGTCACATTTATATCTTTCCATTTAAATTGCAGGAGATGGGCTAACTGTCCACTAAAAACATTGGTTCTCTGCCTTCCAGAGCATAGCAATGTGACAACTAGCCAGGAAATGTTGATCCCATGCCCACCCCCACCAATGGGCAGTGTGACTAAGCTCTGGTCAGTGAGACAAGAAGACCTACTAACCTCAGAGCAAAGCCATCCACTCCTTGCTAGCCTTCGGGAGGGGGCTGGAATGGATAGGATCCCCGGGGCCACCTTGGAAACCATCTTCGGATGATGGCTCTGTGTGGGACATCCTGGGTCCTTGAGTGACTTTGTGGAGGAAGCATCCCACTAACCCAGCACTGTTTCATAAGTGAGAGCAAAATTTATTGTGTGAAGCCATTGAAATTCTGGCTTTTTTGTACAGAAGCTAGTGTTATGCTTAATAGAAAAGTTAGCCCCTTGTACACTGGAGTCCTATGGTTAAAAATAAACTCTAAAATATGTATCATTGCAGGGGAAGGCAAGAAAATTAGTATTGGAGACTGAAAAGATGATGAACCTGGTTCTATAGTAGTGAATTGTTTAATAAAATATTGTCCTCAATTACTTGGTGAGCTGAGTGTTTTCTGGGGCTGTGACCTAGGGGAAAGGCTGGTAGACACAAAATTGGTGCTCATTGGCTCGTACTCACTTTACTTGGCAAGTTGGTACAAGAAAGAGTTGAATGAAAAGGAATTGAATGAAACCTGGAGCCTTCTGCTCTAAGCTCAAAGAGTAAGTAATAACATAAAAAAAAAAAGGCTTGGAGCAATAAAAAGCCCATTAAGACATTTCAGTAAATAGTTCCCCCCTGCCAGCAAAGATCAGATTGTGGGTGCTTTCTTCCCACCAAAGCCTGGTTTCTTCACATGGCTTCAGGATGGCTTCTATTTAGGCGAAAGAGAAAGGCATAGACCTTAGGGTACAAAACAATAAATCTGGAGTGAAGCTCAGCCGGTCCCAGCACCTGGAAGGAAGCTCCCCTGCTGCCATCCCAAGCTCCTAGGGCAGAGAAGGTGAGCCACGTGGGTGCCAGAAGCACCCCCACCCCGTGGAAATGAGAAGACATGTAAACAAGCCTCAAAAACAGACTTCC